TTTTTTGTGATACGCATTATATCCTTTCTATAAATTGCCAATTGTAGATTCTGTTAAGTCCTTTGCATTTAGATCTATTTGGCAAACGTAAGTTTTTTGGTCAATAGAAGCAATTTTTCTCTACGTCAAATCATGCAATCACATTAAGACCCATTTATCACTTTCAAATCATTGATAAAACAACACATTATTAATGAAAGCTATTTACCAATCAAGTATCTTTCTGTCAGAAAAATTTCCTAATGAGAATGAAAGTCCAGAGAAGAACAGACATAACAAGGAAATTCATTTTAAAAAACAGGTTTGTCCAGGAAAAGCACTTCCCTGAGTGATTGATTTCCTTGTTGTAAGAAAAAAATGCCTTTAACTATTGTCAAATTAGATCACCTTCCTTTATAACATAAAGCAATTTCTCTTCCAAATGTTATTTTGCTTCACGTAATAAAAAGAAGACCCACTTTTGTCAGAATAGTCAATGGAAATTTTGAAGTTGGTTTAAAAAAAAAGGATGATCTTATAAGGACAGCAGCCAATGAAATGCTTTCTGACAAGTTTGTGTGATTGCAATCTTTTAAGGTTTTTGTCGCATTAATAAAAGTCGATAATAATCACTGCGGGGACCATCTCAGAAGGTTATCAAACAATACATAGGACAGGATATTTGCAGGATATCCAGTGGGTCATTTCACTGGAACTACTGGAGTCAGATCAGAGATACACACATTTTGTGAAATATTTGCATTACTTTGTCTTGACCCTATTATTTCAAGCTATTTTGTGCTACAGTAACCTCCAATATTGCAAGAAAAAAATAGTTATTAAAATTGATTAAAAAAAACATTTCTGTAAACATTTCAAAAAATCTTTAAGACCCCATTTCCAGAGATTAGATCGATCTACTTTAGATCGACCTGACTCCCTGGGGGTTCACGCTAAATAGCTGTCAGCCGGGCGGACACAAAAGTTAATTACCCCCCTTACAGCTTGTTGTAGGCGGGACGGACATTTAAGCTGGATTATCTGACAGTAATCTAGTGAGACTCCCCACGGGGATAGATCGATCTAAAAGCTCTGGGAATACAGCCTAAGTGTCACTGATGTGACCAAAATTATTCACTTTTCTGTACAGTTCCAATATTTTCACACTTAAACTTTAATGACATTTTTGAGAAATCCCCTAGTGTCATTTTTTTTTCTGAAGGATGGCTGTTCACTGATGTTCAAAAAATCTTTTGAAGTATTCACATAAAAGTGATGCTTTGATATTGCCTAGCAAATTGCAAAGCCTTATACTGAGAGAGCCATGGAAATTTTGTTGTATCATCATGAAAATATACCCTCTACCAGGGCGACTGATAGATTTTTACGGATATTCACAGATATGTCTCTAGCTAGATAGATTGTCATTTAAAATGACAATCTATCTAGCTAGAGACATATCTGTGAATATCCGTAAAAATCTATCAGTCGCCCTGGTAGAGGGTAATGAAAATATATTAGAAAAATACAGTCATATAGCTTATATTTTTCATCTCATGTTACTTTATCAAAGTGAAAAAAACAACCAGAAAAAGATTACACTTCTTGAAAATTGAAGGATATACTCCTTTACATAGGTAGTTTGTCAATTCATTTTGAAGCAAAACAAGTGCCAATGCATTTCAAGTGCACTTTTCTATCATTTTTCACATTTGTCCATCAATTTTAATCACGCAATTATTTTATATAGATTTTATATAGAAAATATTTATTATTATTATTATTATTATTATTATTATTATTATTTTTCACTTTATGTTTGATTTGGTGACAAATCAAAAATTTGGCTCACAAGACCTTCCCTTCAGGCCAGCTCTCTTCTAGCCTGAGTTATCTTTTAAGACAGTGGCACGCAACTCACTTGACAAATAACAAATTGACCTTAGAGAAGTTCATTTCATGTCAAGAAATATTTTCTTGGCATACTCATCTATCCACCATCAATATCGCCATGTCTAACTCACTACCTAGGTCAGTTAAACACTTCAAAACAGAATAACATGGCATAAAGGTGGAATAAAAACAGCTGGATTGTGATAAATTGCACCAATGTCATATCACCAGGCTTGTCATCTGAAGATAAGGGGTCAGCAAAGAAGTTGACAGGTGCCCTTATTTCACCTGACCTATGCTGAATGCAATACCTTGCAAACTAAGCCACGTCCCTTCCAGCCCCTCCCCTCCCCCTCCAAGATTGCAAGGCACATTGCAAACCTTTGGCATTATCAAAATAGTAAAAATATGTAGTAGCACAGCATAGTATAGTGCCATCAAACAATTATTTTATCATCATCAAGGGAGCCTCCACATCATTAAAACAAAACCCAAATGTCTGTTAATATTATATTGTTATGCCATCACTTGCATCATCAAATAGTCTTTACATAATCTAAACGATAAAAATATGTCAGATGATATTGTTATGGCCCACGTAATCACTTCCTTCATTAAATAATTGTTTTAATAATAATCATCAGCCCAAGCCCCTAGCAAGTTTTTACAAAAAAAAAATATGTCATGTGCATTCAAAGTTTAAGAATCAATTTCCAACAAGCTTTCAATAAAACATATTCATTATGTGAATCAGATATTAAATAAAACACCAGGATCCAATAGAGACGAGAAGATTACAATATTAGGTCTTAATAACTCTGCAACCCTGTATCTGAAGGAGCGCTAAGTAATCGATTCTGCTTTTATTGAAGCTGCTTTTTTGCGAGGTATTACTCTGAGATGCGCTAAGGGGCCTCATTATGTGGCTTAGTGTGCGTTTCTATCTGGATTTGGCTTTGGAGAATCTGAGACCTATTTACTGGGTCCAGCACTTAACTGATTAACACCCTGAGTAGCAGAGTATTATCATGGTAAAGGCTCAATCTTTTCAGTGGGGGAAATGATTGATTTTCCAGATACATAATTTTGGATTTATTAGAATCCATCTGTGCAGCATTTGTAGTGCTTTTACTGATAGGAAAACAACTACAGGATATAACCTGCTTTCCAATTTAGTTGCTACTGCTCAATAGAAATGTTCTAATTTTATAAATTTATGATGATGTCCCAAAATTCTCAATTTCTTCCATCAAAAAGATCCAAGTCATTGCATAGCCCACGAACAATGTACATTGTATGCTGGGTGCTGAAGCATCACCTTCACAAACACAGGGTGTCCTGCATAGATTCAACATTAGCTATTCTCATTGTTTTTCCTCCTAATTTTGTCACCATTTATATATTTATTTATTTTGTGTTTAATCAAAGAGAGTCATCAAAGAAAATTTGATGTTAAACCACACCAATAATCATATTTTAAAATTCAGCTGTCTGCTATAAAATAATACCAACAATAATAAGCTAATAGAATAAAACCAATTGTAGTTAAACTTCCATTATGTCATGAAACAGAGAACATCCGTCATGCAACCGATTATTATTGATTGTCTCTCTGTTACATTGGGTACCTGGAACTTATTTAAAACCTGGTGTGGTATGCCACAGCCTATTAGATATAATGCTTTTTCTATACACTTAATTGATCTATGAAATATGTCAATAACTGCACGCCATATTCTGTACTAAAGGGCTAATTTATAAACTGCCAATTTGACACATTTTCCCGTTGTGTTGTTTTAAATTTATCATTAATTATTATCACCATTATCTGCATTATTATCTATTACCATATGTTATCATCTATTGCCATCATTGACCATTCATTATTCATCATCAGTTTGTTTTACATTTTCTATGCTTGTTTCATCATACCTTATCAGCCACACCAATCACACAACTATCACACACCATTTTAGTAATTTTAAGGTTAACTCTGACTCGGGTATCAACAACACTCACTTCTTATCAGTATAGGCAAATACAGGTAATGTGTGACCTCCAACTTCACAATAATAACAACAACTTAAGAAAAACACTCCAAAACTCAGACCTTTGCCAAGAACTCAGACCTCCGCCAAGAACTCAGACCTCCGCCAAGGCACCTTAATTCAAATTATAAATTAATTAATGGATCACCGCCAAAATCAATCTGATCAGTTCTAACTTAGCTCATTTTTGACCTACATGTACCCTGAAAATTTTAGCAAAATCCTTCATTAATCAGTCACCACGTCAGGTGTCTTTTTTTTTTTTTTTTTTTTTTTTTGTATTTTACATACAGGTATATGGAAAGATATGGACAAACCATGTTAACTCACAGATTTGCATATAGTAGTACTGGTATGTTAATGTTTTCAAAACTTGCCACATCAAATAAAAGCTTCACTTCAAGTCAACCCTCATATGAAGTCTCATTCTATTTTACAACTATTTTCAAGTAGCAATAAAGAGTATGTTGTATTTTAAGGTAAATAGCTATTTTGATACACAACTAGCTTTAACCTTTACTTCCAAATATAATTGCTAGTATGTAGAGTTCAAATACATTATAGCTTGTCATTACTGAAGAGAGAAAAAATGACCAACTTAAGTGATCACTTACTGACAAATATTGTAAATCTAGAAATAGATTGAAATATGACTGTGTTAATTTGATCTCAAATAGATGTCTTTAATCTACATAAATTTAAGGCAACCATTTCATTTCAATTCCTCTTGGAAGAATTACCAATTCAGAATGATACCAACAAATGCAGTATATCTTCCATTACAGTGTTCCCTGGGAATACTGTTGACTACTCTATGATATAATTATATATCCCATGAAAAGAAGATAAATTTTCGTATTTTTCTAACCCTTCAAAGGCTGCAATTATGAATATTCACCACTGCATATCCTAATCTAGTGAAATTTGCAATAATCGAAGCAAAATATCCTTATTTTTCTAACCCTTCAAGGGTTGCAATTTTGAACATTTATCACTGCTTACCAGTACCCTATGATAGTGAATGAAATTTGCAATAATGGAGAAAAAAAAGGTCGAAGATTTTCAAAATGGCGTTCTTACCTCCGGTCTATTCCCGTCATGATGCTCCGCCTCGTGGTGTTCATGTATCGGATCCATAACGCTCCAAGTGCGCTGTTTGTACACAACAGGCTCTACTTGAACTGAGCGCGGTGAATTATAATTAGACTCGGACATTTTGATGTTTCTGATACCACAGCAAGTGGCAACACTGTTATCCTTATCTTTAAAGTTGCTTAAAACTGAGTGTTACACCAAGTGCCGAAATCTCCTTGGGTGGCAGGTCTTGAAACCCTCACTGTTAACTGCAATTGCCAATGCGTGGTCTAGTAAATGACACGTTATGAAATAATGTATCACAGTATTCTCAATAATATTCCTCCAAAATTGTGAAAATCTGAATGATGTATTGCAAAGTATCTTCTGCCTGGCAGAACCTCCCTGACGTTCAGTTAATACTCACTGCAGCAGTAGGAAGGTTTCTGAACAAAATTAAAATCACGACTGTTCTGCAGCAATGCATGGTTACACAACTCGCATGCTGTTTGATACAGTACACGTTTTACCTCATGGAAAACCACAGCCCCTTGCGTTATACTGTATCACTGCAACGGTGACGTTGGCGTTGTTTAAAACAGCTGATGATACCACAGTGCCACCAGCTTTATATAATACAACTGATAGCTCATCGCATCTTTGAACCTCAGTTAATAATGGTTTTAGACAGCATGGTTAGCATCTCTGTCATACCATGATATCATTTGGTTTCAAACATCCCGTTCTTGCTTTAGGTTTGTTTTTTTTTTTTTTTTTTTCATTCAAAAACCCTACCTTGATATTCTTCAACTATTTCAGAAACATCCTGAATTTTAGCACTTCATAACTGCTCTAAAGCAGGAAAAGAATTTCAGACAGTGACATTACAAACATTAAAATTTCAGAATCATTGTTCCAGCTTTTTCGCTATCTTGCCACCTAAGGCAATTTCTTTAGATTAAATAGTCCATGCGGCAGCTAAATGTCCAATTATCTATTGGTAATTACAGTCGTAATTGCCTCTGCGGGACATTTACCACCAGTGCATAGACACTCAAACTCACTGCACAAAAATAAAAAATCCGACAGTGTAAAAACATGTACATATTCCATACGCAGTAGAACGTGAAAAATTGACCACCAGTCAGACCGTGGAACCTAGTAAGGCTGCCTTATAGTGAGTCTGTTCTACAAACTCTGCTGGTAGTCACCGGGATTTCTCAGGAAAACATCCTCCGTTGAAATGATCACTGGTATTTATATTCAAACATGCAGCACCAATGATATTGCATGAAGACGCCTCCCTTCCCGCTGTTGTCACTGTGCCTCTGTAAATGTCACCCTCACTTCACCCACAGATATCATTCTGCGACAATAACACGATCATGTACATGGTGAACTGTTACCAATGATATACGTATATATCTCTTGAAAATAAGTATGTAGCCGGGGCCCGGAGTTTCAACTCCAATACATGTAAAGTCAGCGCTGCACCACTGGTTTAAGAACATGCACATATGCATCTGATTGTTCAAGCACAAAGTACACCCGACTGTGTACAAAAACAGAAGCTCACTACTGGTTTTATCAAGGCACAAAGTTCAAAAATGTCCAATTGTGATTTTTTGATAATGAAACAAAGTCACACATGTCCATTTGATACATGAAAAAATCATAGTTTTTGTTTCATGCTCAAAACAGATGATCGAACACCAATGGTTTGTTTATCTCGTCGTAAAAATCTATGAATTCTGCAGTTGTTGATCTGTCCATCCAATACTGCAACATGCATTAACGCCTACACGTCAATACACAGGATACATCAATTATTCTTTACAATATCACCAAGACATGGATCCCTCATGACTATGACCGTAAACTGTTCCTCTATACAATATATATGAAAGGCAGACAGATCCTATTATCTATAATCTTCTAACTCTCCTCAATGCCTCACCCAGGGTTTGCATCTCTACCTGTGCTTACTGTACCCTCTTTCTGCTCCGGTCCCCAGATATAATGACCCTAGTCTGATGAGGACACGCAGGATTTAAAGCGTACAGGAACCTCTCATGTCAACAGAGGTCACGCTATCCGATCACCACCTGAGTTTTTCCCTCATTTGATGCTGCAATTAAAACACTGTAGTTATGATCTCGCGATGACTGCCTTGCCTTAATGACAGAACTAATAAATCCAGGATTTTCCTTTTTTTGTGTGTGAAGATAAAAAAGATACAGTCAATTCTGAAGTAGTTGTAGCTGTGCTAAATCTCACCACATAAAATACCTGTGTTGAATAGCTTACTCCCTGTGGTAAGATTCAGACCGCACAATCTTTCACTCTTTATATATATGTCTACACAAGTTCAGGAGATAAGCTGCAGCTGGCACCCTGGAGTCTCCTCTTGTATCAAGGGTTCACCTTGACCCAGAAAATCTTCAAATATGATGTAACGTTAACAAAACAGAATTAGGGCTGAAAGTAAGAGGCACGGGTCTGGAAGGCCTAGTTAAACTGTGTGCCTATTGAGGCTGCATTCTACCCTCCAAAAGTGAATGCGCTTGAATGAATATCGGTCCCCTGTGTATGATGGGGGTTGGAATTGTGTTCATGCAGAATCATCCGGCTGCAGAATAAAAAATGATGCTCCTTGAACATGACTCCTAATGTATGCTAAAAATGACTGGCTGGATTTTTGATATTGTGCCTAGAGCAGACGTCTCTGTGTGCACCCAGAAAAATCAGGTTTCAGGAACAGTACATTTTAATGAAGATCCAATATCCAGAGAATAAGAAAAATCACCCATTAATTGGTAAAATTATCTGCAAAGATACTGCTGAATTATCAACCAGGAAACTAAAATGAAATCCTTTCCTGGGTCTAAGTATTACAATCTGTCAGATCAGTCTGCGGGATGTGGCCTTCTCTTCCGTAACTTATCCCGACAAACTCTTTTCTTTTTTTATCTTTACCAAATGATAAGACAGGAAAAAAGGTGCAAGATAGAAGAATTGGAGTCAGTGAGATAGAACTCCCAAACGAATAAGTCTTTTCCAGGTTATCCCGTACAGTGCAAGAATTACGCAAGTTGCCATGACAACCAACTGGCTGAAATCCGTTGATTTATGATCTTATGTAAAACTGCCACAGGAAGAGGCATCTCTGCTTTCAAGAAAAAAGCAGAAAAAAAAAACACTTATATAATATGGTAGCATTTTAAGTACACACATCTGGCTTACACTATTTAGATGTGGGAGAAAAAAACCGCCTCCTGCAGGGATTGTACTCCTGAAAACTGCTAAGTTAGTAGTAACTTGGCACCACTTATGACACCATCAGAATTATCCCACACAGCCAATAAAAAAATTACTGCCTTGTAAGAATTGAGTAGACTTATTCCAGAAACTGCACACGTACCAAAAAAATAATTATACTTAGACCCAGAAATTTCTGAGCAAAAAAAAAAAAAATTTTCTGACAAAGTAGTCTTACATGTGCTCACTGGTAGCCTGCCAGTTGTTCAATGTTGCCTGTTCCATTCTGAACACGATACATTGCATCCTTATAAAACATTTCCATTTATGCCATTAGTGGGTCTTCTGACATTAAATAGTCCAAAGAACCAGTCTATGCACTGGGTAATGAAATCAACAGTCAGTCTTCACATTAAATAGGCATGGCTACTTCTAGTGCAGACAGTAGGTAACATTATCCCAAAACTCTCAGACCACCCTTATCTGTCTATTTACTCAGCCCTATAGTCTTATCCATTGCAGACTCCAGCCTGTGTATTGCTCTCTCTCTCTCCAGATATATATGCATTTTACTGATGAATGTCTACTTTGTTCTATGTACACATTTACTGATAAATGTGAACCAAGCTTTCTATATATATACACAAATGATGGATAACAGTCTGTAGACAATTTGCCAGATTCATATACACTGTACATGTGCCTACATATTTGCCTTCAGTGTGATGCATTGCATTATCCAGATGCACATGTGCAGCGAAGTCTAATAACTGATTCTACTGGTTAACAGAAAGTGTCAGCATTTCGCCTCTTTAGTACACAGAAATTCATAATTTTTTCACCAACTAGGTGATGAAACGGTATATGACAATGAAACAATCCAATGTTTCATTTCCTTTAGCTGAAGTAATTCATCCTTAACATCTGGCAAAAAAAGTCCTATTAATGCCAGCTGGAGCCAAATTAGATAATTCACCCATTACCCCCTGCAGATAGTCCAAAATTGGGGTAAACTGACCAGTTCTGACTATTCAGATAAATTTGATAAACCACTGCACTTTGCACCTTTCAGACTGACCAATGAAAGTTATCTAGCTGCCAAGTTCCCTCAAGGTCATTGCAGATTATGACTGAACCCCTGGACGGCAAAGCTCCTCAACCCCATAGTGTGATCGAAGCCCATTATATATAATAGCGATTATATGTAGTGTAAATATAATGCTCAAACACCAAGCGTGATACAGTTTGATTAACGTCTCCCCCTACAATAATCAATTCATAACTGCATGGATTAAATTCCTTGACACATTTTCAATGGCTGGCTCATAAAATACTGACAGCCATCTATTAAGAAGAGGGTTCAAGATGATCAGCAATTTTCTGTCTCTGTTATAATTAATCAAAAACTTATTTTCCTCTCCCATTTGCGTGATACACAGTGGGATTAGTACATATCCAGCCTGTGTGTGAATCAACTTAAAATTCCCTCACCAAACTTATATTAAACATAACTCATGCTGAAATCTATAGACATATACCAGCCTACAACTGACAGCATATACCACCAGGTTTCAAAGTATTAAGGCTGACAATAACATATAAAAAATTATGCACGCTTTTTTTTTTTACTGCTTTCAACCATTACCCACATATAGCCTTGATCTCTGTCAGGATTAATGATGGAGGCACTAAATAATACTCTTATTAGTCCTGGCGTACTCCTAGTGTTAGTTTATGGCAAGTTATCGCAAAGTGTGTTATGGCGTGACACTACTGAAGCAGCACAAAGCATGTGATTCTCTCGACTGACAATATCATCTCGGCTAGATTACTGTCACAAATTACCAGTCACTGATGATTTTTCCAGCCTTTTCCACAAAAGCATAACGAATCTGATGCCGTGAAGTCTGTAGGCAGATCATTCTAGATAATAAATCACCTACTTGATTTATAAATAATCNAAAAGTGCCAGATATAAGAATTGGAGTTAGTGAGATAGAACCCCCTAACAAATAAGTCTTTTCCAGGTTATCCCGTACAGTGCAAGAATTACACAAGTTGCCATGACAACCAACTGGCTGAAATCCGTTGATTTATGATCTTATGTAAAACTGCCACAGGAAGAGGCATCTCTGCTTTCAAGAAAAAAGCAAAAAAAAAAAAAAAAAATCACTTATATAATATGGTAGCATTTTAAGTACACACATCTGGATTACACTATTTAGATGTGGGAGAAAAAAACTGCCTCCTGCAGGGATTGTACTCCTGAAAATTGCTATGTTAGTAGTAACTTGGCACCACTTATGACACCATCAGAATTATCCCACACAGCCCATAAATTAATTACTGCCTTGTAAGAATTGAGTAGACTTATTCCAGAAACTGCACACGTACCAAAAAAATAATCATACTCAGACCCGGAACTTTCTGAGAAAATATTTTTTTCTGACAATTTGAAAGTAGTGCTCACTTGTGCTCACTGGTAGACTGCCAGTTGTTCAAGATTGCCTGTTCCATTGCATCCTTATAAAACATTTCCATTTATGCCATTAGTGGGCCTTCTGACATTGAATAGTCCAAAGAACCAGTCTATGCACAGGGTAATGAAATCAACAGCCAGTCTTCATATTAAATAGGCATGGCTACTTCTAGTGCAGACGGTAGGTAACGTTATCCCAAAAACTCTCAGACCACCCTTATCTGTCTATTTACTCAGCCTCAGTCTTATCCATTGCAGACTCCAGCCTGTGTATTGCTCTCTCTCTCTAGATATATATATGTATTTTACTGATGAATGTCTACTTTGTTCTATATACACATTTACTGATAAATGTGAACCAAGGTTTCTATATATATATACAAATGATGGATATCAGTCTGTAGACAATTTGCCAACTTCATATGTGCCTACACATTTGCCTCTGGTGCGATGCATTGCACCATCCAGATTCCAGATGCATATATGCAGCAAAGTCTAATAACTGATACTACTGGTTAACATAAGTGTCAGCGTTTGGCCTCATTAGTACACAGAAATTCATAATTTTTTCACCAACTTGATGATGAAACGGTGTATGACAATGAAACAATCCAATGTTTCATTTCCATTGGCTGAAGTAATTCATCCTTAACATCTGGCCAAAAAAGTCCTATTAATGCCAGTTGGAGCCAAATTAGATAATTCACCCATTACCCCCTGCAGATGGTCCAAAATTGGGGTAAACTGACCAGTTCTGACCATTCAGATAAATTTGATAAACCACTGCACTTTGCACCTTTCAGACTGACCAATGAAAGTTATCTAGCCGCAAAGTTCCCTCAAGGTCATTGCAGATTATGACTGAACCCCTGGACGGCAAAGCTCTTCTAGCTACCCCATAGTGTGATCGAAGCCCATTATATATAATAGCGATTATATGTAGTGTAAATATAATGCTCAAACACCAAGCGTGATACAGTTTGATTAACGTCTCCCCCTACAATAATCAATTCATAACTGCATGGATTAAATTCCTTGACACATTTTCAATGGCTGGCTCATAAAATACTGACAGCCATCTATTAAGAAGAGGGTTCAAGATGATCAGCAATTTTCTGTCTCTGTTATAATTAATCAAAAACTTATTTTCCTCTCCCATTTGCGTGATACAAAGTGGGATTAGTACATATCCAGTCTGTGTGTGAATCAACTTAAAATTCCCTCACCAAACTTATATTAAACATAACTCATGCTGAAATCTATAGACATATACCAGCCTACAACTGACAGCATATACCACCAGGTTTCAAAGTATTAAGGCTGACAATAACATATAAAAAATTATGCACGCTTTTTTTTTTATTGCTTTCAACCATTACCCACATATAGCCTTGATCTCTGTCAGGATTAATGATGGAGGCACTAAATAATACTCTTATTAGTCCTGGTGTACTCCTAGTGTTAGTTTATGGCAAGTTATCGCAAAGTGTGTTATGGCGTGACACTACTGAAGCAGCACAAAGCATGTGATTCTCTCGACTGACAATATCATCTCGGCTAGATTACTGTCACAAATTACCAGTCACTGATGATTTTTCTGATGCCGTGAAGTCTGTAGGCAGATCATTCTAGATAATAAATCACCTACTTGATTTATAAATAACCAACATTTATTCATTTTTCACTGGTCTATTGTATGCAATTTATCAAAAGTTCTCTTCAGACTGTGGGTTATTTATTATAGAATATAAGCCTAACGCCTGTCTTCTGAGGCAATCAGTTAAATACTTGACTAGGACCAGAGGTCTATGGCAGGAAGGAACTTTGTCATGAGAGGGGGGGAGAGAGAGAGAGAAAGAGGGAGGAAGAAAGAGAGAGAAAGAGAGAGAAAAAGGAGAGAGAGAGAGAGAAATCAAGAGAAAGAGAGAGAGAAGGTGCCCTAAGATGCCTGACTAGGCCTGATATCTATGGGAGTAATTAAGCTAGGTTCTTTGTCATGAGAGAGAGAGAGACTAAAAGGCAAAAAAAGACAAAAGATGTCCTATGCCTCATAAATCCAAAATAAAGTACATATT